ATAAAACACACCGATCATCCTCGCCGCAGCGGCTTTTGGCTTGGCGGTCGAACAAAGGCGGTCACCGCATCGCGCGCTTACAGATGCGCTTGTGCGGCCGTCTGGAACGCTCTTACTTCCGATATGACGAAGCCCCTGCGATCGAGGCACTTTTAGATAATCTTGATCAACGGTTCTTAACATTTACTGTTGCCTTGCCCCCCTCCCCCCCCCCGCTTTGGTTCTTAATCGTAAACAAAAAAATGTATAATATTAATAAGTACATAGGTTTGATGAAACAAAGTAGTTGAACGTAGGTGCCCGTAATTAATTTGCGTGTTTCGATGGTTGACCTAAAAACAAACATCTGGCCATGTCTCGCATCCCCAGAGAGGGCATCTCTCACCCCCAGAGATGGCATCTCACACCCCCAGAGAGGGCATCTCACACCCCCAGACAGGGCATCTCACACCCCCAGAGAGGGCATCTCACACCCCCAGAGAGGGCACCTCACACCCCCAGACAGGGCATCTCACACCCCCAGAGAGGGCATCTCTCACCCCCAGAGAGGGCATCTCACACCCCCAGAGAGGGCATCTCACACCCCCAGAGAGGGCATCTCACACCCCCAAAGAGGGCATCTCACACCCACAGACAGGGCATCTCACACCCCCAGAGAGGGCATCTAACACCCCCACAGAGGGCATCTCTCACCCCCAGAGAGGGCATCTCACACCACCACAGAGGGCATCTCTCACCCCCAGAGAGGGCATCTCACACCCCCCAGAGAGGGCATCTCCCACCCCCAGACAGGGCATCTCACACCCCAGAGAGGGCATCTCACACCCCCAGAGAGGGCATCTCACACCCCCAGAGAGGGCATCTCACACCCCCACAGAGGGCATCTCTCACCCCCAGAGAGGGCATCTCACACCCCCAGACAGGGCATCTCACACCCCCAGAGAGGGCATCTCACACCCCCAAAGAGGGCATCTCACACCCACAGACAGGGCATCTCACACCCCCAGAGAAGGCATCTCACACCCCCACAGAGGGCATCTCTCACCCCCAGAGAGGGCATCTCACACCCCCACAGAGGGCATCTCTCACCCCCAGAGAGGGCATCTCACACCCCCCAGAGAGGGCATCTCCCACCCCCAGACAGGGCATCTCACACCCCCAGAGAGGGCATCTCACACCCCCAGAGAGGGCATCTCACACCCCCAGAGAGGGCATCTCACACCCCCACAGAGGGCATCTCTCACCCCCAGAGAGGGCATCTCACACCCACAGAGAGGGCATCTCACACCCCCACAGAGGGCATCTCTCACCCCCAGAGAGGGCATCTCACACCCCCAGAGAAGGCATCTCACACCCCCACAGAGGGCATCTCTCACCCCCAGAGAGGGCATCTCACACCCCAAGAGAGGGCATCTCACACCCCCAGACAGGGCATCTCACACCCCCAGACACGGCATCTTTTACCCACAGAAAGGGCATCTCACACCCCCAGACAGGGCATCTCACACCCCCAGACAGGGCATCTCTCACCCACAGAAAGGGCATCTCACACCCCCAGACAGGGCATCTCACACCCACAGACAGGGCATCTCGCACCCCCAGACAGGACATCTCTCACCCCCAGAGAGGGCATCTCACACCCCCAGAGAGGGCATCTCACACCCCCAGACAGGGCATCTCACACCCCCAGACAGGGCATCTCTCACCCACAGAAAGGGCATCTCACACCCCCAGACAGGGCATCTCACACCCACAGACAGGGCATCTCGCACCCCCAGACAGGACATCTCTCACCCCCAGAGAGGGCATCTCACACCCCCAGAGAGGGCGTCTCACACCCCCAGAGAGGGCGTCTCACACCCACAGACAGGGCATCTCACACCCCCAGAGAGGGCATCTCACACCCCCAGACAGGGCATCTCACACCCCCAGAGAGGGCATCTCACACCCCCAAAGAGGGCATCTCACACTCCCAGAGAGGGCACCTCGCACCCCCAGAGAGGGCATCTCACACCCCCAGAGAGGGCATCTCACACCCACAGAGAGAGCATCTCACACCCACAGACAGGGCATCTCTCACCCCCAGAGAGGGCATCTCACACCCCCAGAGAGGACATCTCACACCCCCAGAGAGGACATCTCTCATCCCCAGAGAGGGCATCTCACACTCCCAGAGAGGGCATCTCACACTCCCAGACAGGGCATCTCACACCCACAGAGAGGGCATCTCACACAGAGAGGGCATCTCACACCCCCAGAGAGGGCATCTCTCACCCCCAGAGAGGGCATCTCACACTCACGGAGAGGGCATCTTGCACCCCCAGGGTGTGCGGGCACCCAAGGCCAAGGAGCCACTCATCTTGAAAACCACTCATCTTTTTTCTTAGAATAGTTTTTTTGTTCTGTTAAGTTCGTTGTCCTCCCCCCGCCGCACCCCTGATTAGCACGGTCGTCTGCGTGCGGTGCTAAAGAAGTTCAACGCACGTGTAGATACACAACAAACAAAGGACAAATATCTCCGTGTAACCTTAACAGACTGTTGGGGCAAGTGCTGTTAGCGAGCACCTATGAAGGCCGGCACGGCACACGAGGCAGTGGGTGGCCAACACCACTCCCGACCGCCTTCGTATTCCCAGTGACAATGTTTACACGCCGCACCAGGTACTCATTTGAGGCCGAGTCGACCTAGGGGAGGCCCAGAACCGGTTCAGATAATCGTCACTGGTGTTGGCCGTTTGAGCGGGAACCGAACCCGGGTCGCCAGGTTTGTATTGCAGCGCGCTAACCGCTACACCACCGCTCCCCACACACACACACACACAAGATTTCGTCCCCAGCAGAACCACAGATCCACCATCCAAAGCGTCGAGGTCTCATCATCACCCCCGCCCGAGCCACTTCTCCCCAAACAGCGTGGCGTGGCGTGTCGAGGGGTCATCACCAGTGGTGGAAACTCCACGTTCCTATGCCAGGGCGCAGTCCGTTCGAAGCGCATCCGCTTGCCGTACCGATGCAGACCGCGTATATATAGGGTGCTTTAAAAAAAATGAAAACGTTGACGCTTATGAGAATTTGCGACAACACCGCCAGCAATGTTGCGTCTCCGGGCGCTGGAGACCACCTGCAGAAGATTGCAGGCACGCGTTGACAACGATGGCGAACCAGTGGGAGACTCCTTACGTAGGTAGAAAAATAATCGATTAGTGATCGATTATTATTTTTCTACCACCTACGTGACTTCACCGAAAGAACCAAAGAGTATGGATTCCTGCAGTCACGAAAGCTTCAAATCTAGATTGGAGTGGAAACTATTGTTGAAGCTATTAACACACATTTGTTATCGCGTTAGTGTCATATTATCCGTTCTTTTTCCATGAAAAACGATAATTCCATATAAGTGTTAATGTTTTTTTGTGTTGTTGAAGCAGCCCTGTTTAATTAGCGCGCTGCTTACAGTGGCTAGCAACTAAAGCTCGGGTGGGATTTTTGTTTTTGTCCTACCAAGCAATCGAGATGCGTTCCACTAATTGGGGGAAATTAATGTCGAGTCGTATTCTGTTCGCCAAGTGATACATCATAGAAGCTGTTGACTATCACAGCAACAACAACAACAACGGCGACAACAACAAACCCAACGCGTTCGTGAGTAACGCCGTGCGGTGCGTGGTCTTAATTAGGAAACAATGTACGATGAGCGACGTTTCGGGCAATGCCCCTTCTTTCCGAGCACATCGATTGCCGGTCACATTGCCCATCGCGCAATCAGCAACCTTTGTCGGGTTTACCTCGACAATACCATCACCGTCGTCACCATCGCTGTCATCGACATCCGTTTTAGAATCATCACCACCAGCACCACCAGCACCACCAGCACCACCAGCACCACCAGCACCACCAGCACCATCATTGCGACATTAACGAGCACCTGTTGCCTCCAGCAACATTATCGTCATTAAGCTTCGTCATAATAACATTTAGAGACAGATATTTTGCCATCACCGCCAGCACCACCACTATCATCCATTGCCACCACCATCATCATCATCTTTAAGACGTGTATCCGATCGTCAGTCGCATGGTCGTCGTCATCATCATCATCATTACGCATAACGATGTAAGATCAATCACTGTCACAACGGTAACCAACAGCCCATCATAAATCAGCATTCCACAACGAGGTGAAAGTCCACTAACTATCGCAGCGATACCTGTGATAGTAGAATTAGGGGAAAGCTCGTCATCATCATGACTAACGAGGTGAGTTCGATACTTGTGCAGCTATAACCAAGTGACCAACATCATCATCATCTTCGTCGGTATTTATAACGAGGTGAAAGTCAATTACGACCACGTCTATAACGTACAGCCTATGATCACCGTTGTCGAGCGAGGTAAGACCTTGTTTTTCAAATCTGTAACTGCAACATCACCATCCTAAACATCATCCATAACGAGGTGAGAGTCAGTCTCCATAATTACGTTTTTCGGGTTAAATCGCGTAAGTGTGAATGTGTCGTAACCCTCCACCACCCGACACAGCCAGGAAGGTTTGTCACGTAAACAACGCGACAATTAGTTACTAATATCGTGTATAGTGTAGTATACAGTAGTGTAGCGCATAGTGTAGTGTATAGTGTAGTATACTACTTCAGCCCACCGGTATGTTGGAGAGTAAATCCACAACGTTTACAGTTCGGGTACGACGTTTCGCTGGTAATTACATCCGGCATCATCGGGCGATTTGCCAAAATAGTCAGTCTGTGTGACTACCCACCGTCAACATTAACATCATCTGTAACTGCAACATCCTAAGCATCGTCTATAACGAGGTGAGAGTCAGTATGTGCGACTATCCACAGGCAGATCTATAACTGCAGCATCAATCGTCATCTGTAACTCCTTCATAGCGATGCCATTGCATGTGTAGCGTGGTGAAGCCAACCTCGTCGTCATCATCACGAGGTGCAAAGACTGCTACCACATCATTATACAGTACTCACCTTAGCACGACACCGAGAGGATGGACGGATGGATGGATGGCAGCTAATGCTGTTGTCGCATTTTCACTGTGGTTGTGGTGTTGCGTGATCTGAAACGCGCGGGTGTGTGACCGCGAGTGCGATAGTGAGCATATTAAAACGAGCCTGTGTGTGTGTGAGAGAGAGAGATGGTGAGCGAATGAGTGAATGAGCGAAGGAGTGGATGAGTGAGATGGTGAGATAATAAGCTGCTGTGTGAGCGATATGGTGAGCGGTCAAGCTACTGGGTGAGTGAGATGGTAATCGAGTGAGCGAGTGGGTGAGTGAGATGGTGAGTGGTTAAGCGTTGGGTGGGTGGTTATCAAGTGCGGCTGTGAGGTGGTGAGGCAGTTAACGACATGGTGAATGAGATGGTGAATGGGCGAGATGGTCAGTGGGTGGCATCACGGATGCGTGCGATAGTGCATGCGACAGGGTGATTATTGTGAGTGAGTGAATTAGTGAGTGGGTGGGTGAATGTGGGTACGAGTGGATGGGTGAAAATGTGAAGCGGCGAGTGCGTGAGTCAGTGGGTGAGAGGGCAAGTGAGATTGTGCGTGAAATATTCAATTCGTGAGAGGTGTGTGTGTGAATCAATGTGTGGATGGGTGAATGAATATACCGGTGAGTACGACTGGCAGTGCGCTGGGTGCGCGCGTCTGTTCGTGAAGGAGTCGATGGGTGGGTGAGAGAGCGAGTGGATGCGTGCATTGATTTATACGAGTCGATGAATGTTTGTGTGAGTCACTGGGGGAATAGGTGAGATGAATGAAAAAGCGAATGTGTGGGTGAATGGATGAGGGTGCAACTGGGTGACTAGGAGAGTGGATGAGCGAGTCGGTGGGCGAGTAGGTGTGTAGGTGAATGGTTGGGTGAATGAGCGGGGTTAAGATATTAGTAGTAGGAGTGAGTGACTCGGTGCGTTTATAAGAATGTGCGTGAATGCGTGCATGGATACATGAGTGGCTGAGTGAATGATTGGGCGAGTGTGCTGGCCGAGTGAATTAATAAATGCCTTAGTGGGTGGGTTGAACGGGTGGCTGGCTGGGTGAGCAAGCCACCGAGCTACTTTGTGCGTGTGTGCGGCTGGCTGGGCGGATGCGTAATTGGGCGAGTGGCTGGGTGAGTGATTGGGTTGGGCGCGTGGGTGGGCGCGTAAGTCGGTGCGTGGCTGGGTGCGTGGGTGAGTGAGTGGATTGGGTGTGTGAGTCGGTGCCTGGCTGGGTGAGTGCGTGGGTGGCTGGGTGAGTGATTGTGTGAGTGATTGGGTTGGGTGCGTGGGCGCGTGGGTGGGTGCGTGGGTGAGTGAGTGGGTTGGGTGCGTGAGTTTGAGTACGTGGGTGGGTGAGTGAGTGAGTGAGTGGGTGAGTGAGTGGGTGGGTGAGTGAGTGAGTGGGTGAGTGGGTGAGTGAGTGAGTGAGTGGGTGAGTAAGTGAGTGACTGAGTGAGTGAGTCGGTGGGTGGGTGAGTGGGTGGGTGGGTGAGTGATTTTCTTGGGTGCGTGGCTGGGTGAGTCCGTGGTGGCTGGGTGGGTGGGTGAGTGGGTTGGGCGCGTGGGTGGGTGGGTGAGTGAGTGGGTGGGTGAGTGATTTGCTTGGGTACGTGGCTGGGTGAGTCCGTGGGTGGCTGGGTGGGTGGGTGAGTGGGTTGGGCGCGTGGGTGGGTAGGTGAGTGGGTGGGTGGGTGAGCGAGTGAGTGGGGCACCTCTGCTGATATCGCCTTCTTCTGTCACTCATCCCGAGTCGCGACGGATTCGCCTCCGTCTCTCTCATTGGCCGGGAGCTCCGTCTGCCGATCCCAGCAAGGCAACGTTGCCCAGATTCAATTAATGAATTAATGATAAATAAATAACATCTACCACATCGCAAATTATTATCCGAATTATCAGCAGCAGCAGCAGCAGTCGAGGCAGCAGTCGTATAGTACCGCTTGCAGCAATTCTCCCTGCAGTTAGATCTGCAGCAGTCAATGTATACTGCACATCAGCTGGCGTTCGCGATTCGTTCTCTCATGAAGCTGGGCAGGTGATGTTGTTGTTGATGTTGTTGTTGATGGTGGTGCCGATGGTTGGGACGATGCCGCTGGGGATGTTGAATGACATCACGCGCCCTGACCACGCGTCCTTCCTTTGGTGTCACGTGTATTCCTTCACTCCGTCCTTGACTTTCGTGCCGACGACGTGACTCGTTCATTCGTTCGTCAATGTCGTTCGTTTGCGCGCTCCCTCGGGAGGTTGCACGCGCACGGCGCCGAGTCTGTGCAGACGGGAACACGCCTCTTTAATAAACGCCTATCATCATTACCATCACCAACATCATCTCGTTATCATTATCTAATCAACATCATCGCGAGCATTATCTCATTATCATAAATTGGATCGACATCAGCATTATCTCACGATCATCAAATCGACATCACGAGCGTTCGCATTAACATCATCAGTATAATCTCATCAATATCATCATTATTATGATTATATCATTAACATTATACTAATATTATCAGCATACTAATCAACAGCAGCAGCAGCAGCATTCCAAATCATCCTTCACTTGTTGCGCCACGGCCATTCCATTTTTCACACGCAAGTCAAATATAATTGCATGATTCACGTTTAATTGCACCGTTACATTCGCATTCAATTATGCACTCTTGTCAATCCACTGCTGGATGATAAAGCTCCCTGTCATACTTCACCACGCCGGTCAGTGCGGCTCGAGCCGAGAACCGGTACAAATCTCGACGTCCCACCGATGATTGCGTCACCCCGTGGTGCCGGGAATCGAACTCAGGTCCGCCCGGGGTTCGTAGCGCAGTGGTATTTGTTCCCCCCCCCCCATCGCTGTTATTTTTTTAATTGTTGTTTTAATTAACACCGTTTAACCCATTCAACGGCCATATTCGTCGCCGCTTTGTGAACTATTTTGCTTAATTTCAATCACCTACTTTACGCGTTTCGTGCGGCAATTCCCGGAATCACCCGAGCCGTACGAAATTAAATGCTCTAATGAGCCCCCCCCCCCGTTAAAAGTGTGTTAATGCATTAAAATTAACCGCAATGTATTGATTAACCTTAATTATGAGTAGGCGCAGTGGAGTCATATTTAGCCAACACAATTCCATACGAGGTAGAACAGGTGCAAATTTAATAATTTCCCCGTGATTGATTATTAAGTATGGGGCGATATTCAGCGATTTGACGACTCCGTGTGCTGTAACGCTGCAATTCTTCTGTAGAAATAATAATAATGATGATTATTACATTCACAATACTCACGTGGTAATCCGCGACGTTGTTAAGATGAACTTCACGTTTGATAAATAACTCACCATCAAAACGTATTATTACAACATAAACACAAACTGCTATTGTATTGGATATAGTTTGAAATTCACATCAGCCTGCAACGTTCAACCAATGCACTTTGGGCTATGCACTATGTGTGGTTGTGTGATCACTGAATATGATGCAAAGCAGCAAATTGCTCTTATCACACACGGACACTCACGCAAAATATCACAACACTAACAATAATGTGTACTCTGGCGGTATGTAGGCTGAGCTGAAAAAAATATCCTGTAATCGTTGCGTCCACTTGAGCTGCTCCCGTGTCTACGTGCGTGTCTAAATGAATACTATTCGAAGCGCTTTCGAAACACACACACACACACCCCACTAACTCAGGAGACGGGGCTGGCTTAGGCTTAGCTCGGCTTGTATGAGCCCAGCTGGCTGCTGCTATACCATAGACGCATCAACCACTGGAGCGTGTGTTGATTCGCCTGCGAGCGAGGCGCCTTCTGCTGAGAGAGAGAGCGAGCGAGAGAGAGTTGGAGTCTGTACGGCTCTGCACACAGAGAGAGGGGGGAGAGAGTTGGCACGGCTCGGCACGGTTCGACACAGCCTGACTCTCTCTCTCTCTCCACGCACGCCTACCGCGCCCACTAGCGGAGAAGCGAGCTGCTGCTGCTGCCGTTGCTGCTTGCAGAGATGGAGGAAGGGAGGGATGCGTGGGTTATGGGGAGCGGGTGGGAGAGTGGATGGGTGGGAAATGGGAAGCGGGTGGGAGAGTGGATGGGTGGGAGATGGAGAGAGGGTGGGAGAGTGGATGGGTGGGAGATGGGGAGAGGGTGGGAGAGTGGATGGGTGGGAGATGGCGAGAGGGTGGGAGAGTGGATGGGTGGGAGATGGCGAGAGGGTGGGAGAGTGGATGGGTGGGAGATGGCGAGAGGGTGGGAGAGTGGACGGGTGGGAGATGGGGAGAGGGTGGGAGAGTGGACGGGTGGGAGATGGGGAGAGGGTGGGAGAGTGGACGGGTGGGAGATGGGTGGGAGAGTGGATGGGTGGGAGATGGGGAGCGGGTGGGAGAGTGGATGGGTGGGAGATGAGGAGAGGGTGGGAGAGTGGACGGGTGGGAGATGGGGAGAGGGTGGGAGAGTGGACGGGTGGGAGATGGGGAGAGGGTGGGAGAGTGGATGGGTGGGAGATGGGGAGAGGGTGGGAGAGTGGACGGGTGGGAGATGGGGAGAGGGTGGGAGAGTGGATGGGTGGGAGATGGGGAGAGGGTGGGAGAGTGGATGGGTGGGAGATGGGGAGAGGGTGGGAGAGTGGATGGGTGGGAGATGAGGAGAGGGTGGGAGAGTGGATGGGTGGGAGATGGGGAGAGGGTGGGAGAGTGGATGGGTGGGAGATGAGGAGAGGGTGGGAGAGTGGATGGGTGGGAGATGAGGAGATGGTGGAAGAGTGGATGGGTGGGAGATGAGGAGCGGGTGGGAGAGTGGATGGGTGGGAGGGAGATGGGGAGCGGGTGGGAGAGTGGATGGGTGGGAGATGGGGAGAGGGTGGGAGAGTGGATGGGTGGGAGATGGGGAGAGGGCGGGAGAGGGGATGGGTGGGAGATGGGGAGCGGGTGGGAGAGTGGATGGGTGGGAGATGGGGAGAGGGTGGGAGAGTGGATGGGTGGGAGATGGGGAGAGGGTGGGAGAGTGGATGGGTGGGAGATGGGGAGAGGGTGGGAGAGTGGATGGGTGGGAGATGGGGAGCGGGTGGGAGAGTGGATGGGTGTGAGATGAGGAGAGGGTGGGAGAGTGGATGGGTGGGAGATGGGGAGCGGGTGGGAGAGTGGATGGGTGGGAGATGGGGAGAGGGGGGGAGAGTGGATGGGTGGGAGATGGGGAGCGGGTGGGAGAGTGGATGGGTGGGAGATGGGGAGCGGGTGGGAGAGTGGATGGGTGGGAGATGAGGAGAGGGTGGGAGAGTGGATGGGTGGGAGATGGGGAGAGGGTGGGAGAGTGGACGGGTGGGAGATGGGGGGAGGGTGGGAGAGTGGATGGGTGGGAGATGGGGGGAGGGTGGGAGAGTGGACGGGTGGGAGATGGGGAGCGGGTGGGAGAGTG